AATTAATCAGACCCATAAAACAATTGAATGTATATTAAATTTGGCTTACTTTAGTTCTTTTAAAATATTTTGTTTACTTTGTTAATCATGTTTTATAATAATATTTTGAGTTTCTAATATTTTGAGTTTCTAAAATAAAGAGATTTTATTTTATAATTTTTATTGCCTTTGCTTCAGAGCACAAAGTTCTATGAAGGTATAGCAATTTCCCTCTTGATTTAAGCAATGTGCAAACAAAATTGGATAAAGACACTGAAAAATCTCACTGGGGCTTGAGTTATCTTGTGAACCCATGAATTAAATATAAGAATATAAGAAATGTCACACTAGATTAAATTAATTGTCCATGGAACATGTTATTTTATGGAAAAGCATGGTATTCACTCTCCACAACATTGATCTACTTGAACATAATTACATTTCCTTAGTAATATATTATATATCAATTTTCCACAAATCAATTTTCTACCAAGACCTTCTTTGATCCCATTTCTATTTTCAGTCAGTACTACCTCTTCCAATATGAGTCTATTACCTCTTGTGTATGCTTCACTTCCATATTCCAATGACTGTGTAAACTACTTTTCAAAACACCCACTAGAGTACACTATAATTTGGAATATGTGATTAACTTACTCATCTCTTTATTTTAAAAAAATCTTATTCTTGCTCACATTGAAAAGTATAAATTCTTAACTGATTTTATGTGGAAAATTTTACATCCTTTTGCTTATTTAAAATCTAGACCAGTTCCTCTATGATGCCCTTTATGATTGGAGAGCAATGAAAATTGTGCATACATTCCTAAGGAGAATGATCACAATTTTGTTTATGGATAATATTGTTTTATTACCATATAAGAGCAATGAGCATTTTGTTGCCTTTCTTGTTACAGCAGCACATTAAATCATTGTCTGGAGATAGTATGTTGGGTGTTCTTTTTGCTCAGTCTCCACTGCATTTGTATGAAATAGATTTTCCAAACCAAAATACTCATAACACTCTCTACCCTGCTACAAATCACATACTGAATGTAATATTCTACACTACTAGCACTGAATAATATTCATACGGACAGCATTTCTGGATTCATGTACCTTTAACATTCTTTGAACCTTTATAGATTAGTATATATGCCTATATGGGTGTATTCACCGTGTATTTGTTAATTTGTATATAATTCATCCTCTTAGTAATTTTTTTCACTCCTACTGATAAAACCTTACCTTAGATGTTTGTAAACATCTTTGTTTAAAAGACTTTTTACTTTGGTAAAGTCTTAATTTCCAGAAAGAGAATACATATTTGGCTAATTTTGTCTTATTCTTTCTCAGTACCTTCTTGTCTTGTTTTTGTCCTTGTGCCTTCTAATGTTGGTCTAAAATAATTGTCAGTAAATTTGATTGACAATATCAAATCAAGACATTTGAAACTAAAAATTTTCTTAACACCTGTACTATTTAATTTATGCATATATAAAACTTCTATGTTAAAATCCCCAAGTGTTTCCTCTTTAAAATGATTTGTTTCAGCCAGCCTGAATGTGTAGTTTTTATTTGGACTGTATTGAGAGCAAATAAATCTGAATATTAAGTATTCCCTCAGTAGCAGATTCTTTTGCAAACTATGTCAGTGCAATATATTGAAAATATTCAGCTTTGAGGAGTACATGTTGAAGCTAAACCTGGACTTCAGAGACATTTCTTTCTCTAATGCTGCAAATCATATTTAATGGTTTATATATGCACAGAAATCTTTGTACATTCACTGTATCTATGAAATATTCCAGGAAAATCATGTTTAGGGCTTATCTTACTAGAATAGCATTATCTAAAATGGAACTTAAATGGCTATTAGAGGAAGTGAGATACTATGATGCACTGTGAACTTTGGCTTGCTCTTCTTAGAGCAGATGTCTTCCTAAGGGTACAGGTGGAGAGTCATTCTACCCTATGTGTGAAGTAGAAGCTGACTTCTTCCTATTTTCCTTTAGTAAACATACTATTACTTCCAGAACTGAGAACTTTTAGGTCTAAAGGCTGTTACTTGGTTCAGTGCATTATTTGTGGAAAAAGAAAAAAAAATCCTATCCTCTTTATGTTGTCTAATTAAAGTCCAGAAGAATCTGACACTTGGGGAAAAAAGCAGAACCAGAAGGGAAAGAGGATCTGTTCTTGACAGGAGGTATTGTTTCCTTTCTTAAGTTTCATGGAACACACTAAAAGAGTATTTAAAATCGCCACATGTAGTTTGTCCCTTCCAGCTGGACATGGCACCAGTCCAGAGAATAATGATGACATGAGCAAGGTGATTTTAAAGGGACCCACATAAGCTGATCTCTTTTCTCTGCAGATGACACAAATAGAAAGCTTTGAGCAAGAGTGGAAAGACACACACTATCACTTGCCTTTCCCCTCTGAAGAAGCTGGGACACATTCTGCTCAGCCAACATGTTCCCAGAGGAATGTGATTTAACTTCCACTTTTCACACAGTAAGAAGCAACACTGGAGACCTGTCGGGAGGGTGATAGCAGCCTGGGAGGAATTTGGATAAGTGTTTTTCACTCCAGTGTTTTCATGTGACTTGACTCTCATCTCGATTTAGTTACATCTTGACCTGGAAAATGCTGCCAATGTTTGCCTTTCTTCATTTGGCTTACCTTGATTCATTATATGCATATCCCTCCTTTCCCTACTCCCACCCTATGCAGCCTTTCCCCCGAAACCTACTAATAGACTTTCTCCAGATGTTTACACATGTATTAATTCTGTTTCCCTCAGTAGGGGCTTTACTTCCAGGGAGGGAAAATGTATTTGGGTCCTTGAAATATATACAAAGAATATTCACCTAAAGCAGCCTAAGATGTTCCCTACTCCTTTTGCCAGATCTGACTATTCATATATCTGGCAGCTTCTTTAAGAACCCTCTGGTAGCAGAGAAATTAATACTTCTCACTTCTCCCTAGCTTTTTTTCCCTCCCCCCTCCATCAAACGACTGATCTTTATGCATGAGATAATAGACAAGCCTTGGGTGACCTGTTTTTTTTTTTCCCCTCCCCCCCCCCTCTTTTTTCCTTGCGGTAAAATAGTGCTGAAGAAAGAGGGCACTAGTGTACAGCCCAGATCGCATCCTTGCACCGTCTGGATTAGAGCTGAGGCGTCTGCGAACCGAGCGTGGCCCGAGCTGTGTTCTGGCCCGAGGACCATTGCGCTGTCTACCCGGACTCAGGTACGTCTCAAGTCCAATTCTCCAAGCAGACCCAGGTGAGCAGACACCTCCCCGGCGGTGAAACCCACCCACAGTGGCAGACAGTCCCAATCTATGGGATTTCCTACTGGTCCCAGGGGCATCTCCGCTTATTTCTTTTAGTCCAGCATCCCTGGGAAGCGTCGGGACCCATGAATGCCTGGGTTGTCTTCCTCCTTTTGCCTGGCTCACCTCCTGTGCTCTTGCTCCCCGCCCGCTCCCTTAGCTCCTTTCTTGTCCGACTCTCACCTTGAGAAAGGGAGCTGGGGAGGAACGAGAGGGAGCCAACTTCAGCCCCACAGGCGGCTGAGATTTGGCGCCTCTGCCCCCGAAGCGGGCGGTTTTGAATATACCTGCAGGAGCTCTGCCTCCAAGGAGAAGAGAATGAGAATGGAGGGGTGGTGGGAGACAAGGGGAGGGTGTGTGTGTGTGTGTGTGTGTGTGTGTGTGTGTGTGTGTGTGTGTGTGTGTGTGTGTGTGTGTGTGTGTGTGTGTGTGTGTGTGTGTAAGGAACGCAGGAAGGAGGGTTGCAAAAGGCGTCCCCTCCAGGCGCTGCGGGGGAAGGTTTCTGCCTCGGGACTGAGCACTGTCCAGGGTTCTGAAGAAGGCAGCGCTTGAGCTACCGCTGCAAGAGCTACCCAGAAGCCCACCTCCATTCCCTTTCTAGAAATGTGCAAAGCCAAAGGTCCCGATTTAGGCGAGTGCAGGGGCCCCTTACACCTCCTCCCTCCACCTTCCATCGCGGGAAACAAATTACCTTATCTGCACCCTTTCTCCCTGAACATCTACAGTAAGCCTGACTTCTTGGGTGTGTGTGGGGTTTGGGGGGGCGGGGGTGTGGGAGAAATACCAAACTCCGACATGCCGAGACTTTACCAGGCGTTGCCTTAGTAACTAATATGGATTTCCTCAACCTGGCAAATTATATTTATTACTTGGGTTGTATGTTGAGGTCTCTTCAACCCCTCGAAGTTAAAGTAAAAGATGAATTCCTTTTTTGCGTTCATCTTGAAGTAATGTTTACAGCTTCATAATGAGTTTCCAAATTTCTTCTGGGAAAAGTTGATCTTTTCAAATCCGAAAAGTTCTTTTGAATTAAAAGCCTTAGCTCCTCCTCTCCTTTATTCCCTTTCCCCGTCAAGTCTGTAAGTGTAACGGGTATTTGGGGACCTGGAAAAGGCTTGAAGCTGAAAGAAGGGGCAGGTCGGCGGGGCTTTGCGCCTTCAGGGACGGATGAGGGCACTGCGGGCAGGACGCACCACCTTCCGCCTTGACCATAGCTGGCTCCCAAGCTGTCCCTCCCCCCGATATCATGATGTGCTGGAATGAAATAGACCGGGCAACTATTAACATTTAACATCACGGACGCGGAGTTTTGAAGCAGGTTCTGTGATAACGCAGCTTTGATTTTCTTCCTTTTTTGTTGGCAGCGTCCAGCTCACGGCTGCCACCACGGCGTCCATTGTACTCTTGACCAGTTTACTTTGATGCACCAGTGAAGAAGGGGGCTCAAATTCCCCTAGAAACGCCTCCAGGACCAGGAGGTGGTCCTGGAGGACCAGGAAGAGGAGGAGGAGGGGAAGGAGGCAGGGGTGCAGGCGGCGGAAGTGTTGGACCAGCGGTGTTGGCAAGCAGGACCGAGCTGGGAGAGGCAGGCGTCGGGCATCTGTCTACGTTGCGAGCCCGCAGAGCCGGCTGGCAGGACCAGCGTGGGAACGCGGCTGGCCGGCTGTGGACGGCGTCCTCAGCACAATGGTCCGGCTCCTCTTGGTTTTTTTCCCAGCGATCTTTTTGGATATGTCCCTTCTTCCCAGGGGACCCGGTAGGAAAGTGTTGCTGGCGGGAGCCTCGTCTCAGCGCTCGGTGGCCAGAATGGACGGAGATGTCATCATTGGGGCCCTCTTCTCAGTCCACCACCAGCCCCCGGCAGAGAAGGTGCCCGAGAGGAAGTGTGGAGAGATCAGGGAGCAGTATGGCATCCAGAGAGTGGAGGCCATGTTCCATACATTGGATAAGATTAACGCGGACCCGGTCCTCCTGCCCAATATCACTCTGGGCAGTGAGATCCGGGACTCCTGTTGGCACTCCTCTGTGGCTCTGGAGCAGAGCATCGAGTTCATCAGGGACTCTCTGATTTCCATTCGAGATGAAAAGGATGGGCTCAACCGGTGCCTGCCTGACGGCCAGTCCCTCCCCTTAGGCAGGACTAAAAAGCCTATCGCTGGTGTGATCGGCCCAGGCTCCAGCTCCGTAGCCATTCAAGTGCAGAACCTGCTCCAGCTCTTCGACATCCCCCAGATTGCCTATTCTGCCACAAGCATCGACTTGAGTGACAAAACTTTGTACAAATACTTCCTGAGGGTTGTCCCTTCTGACACTTTGCAAGCAAGGGCAATGCTTGACATAGTCAAACGTTACAATTGGACCTATGTCTCTGCAGTCCACACAGAAGGTAGGCATTGCATTTGGGAAGGAAAGGTACAGAGAAAGCGAGTACATTGCATGATATGCGATCGTGATCGTAGTATTGTCCCTATTTATTAACATCACTGTGGGGAACAGATTTTACCCTTGTCAGTACATGCCCACCACCAAGGCATTGCCTTTTATCCTCATTCTGTAATTATAGTGTAGGAAAACTGTGTCCCATGGTGTTTTGGGGATAGTAGGAGTCTATCAGATACAAACTCTCTATGAACAGCGTCCAACTGTAGTTTTTGGACTTAGATGTTTGCCCTCACATTCTGCGTTTGTGTTTGAAAGGCTTGTTTGCCCAAAGTGGTATACTACTCTTAGTTAAGTGACTGGCTATGATTTTCCAAGCTTAATAGACTAATCCAATATGAGCAATTAGGAAAACAAAAAAACAAAACCAAAAAAACTTATTGTCCCCTAAATTGGCCTTGAAAGCTTGATCTTGTCTTGAACAGCTGAAGGTTCTTCTTTGTCTTAATGTGCCCCTTCTTTCACATCCAAAGCTTACCTGTGAATGTTGGATTAATGCAGTCATCTCCCTCAGTATATCAGAAACTTATTTCAAATTCTGGAGTATCTTAGATACAATGGAAAAGTAAATAATTTAAATCATTTACTTATTTTCTATTACCTATGTTAAAATTGTCCAGATGCCCTCACTCCTCCCAAGAATTTTCTTGTGTTTGAGAAATAACACTGGTGACTTCTTGGATTTGAGTTTTGGTTTCTAATCTTTTTCTTCTTACACAATGACTTTGCTCATTAGAATTTAGTTAGATCAATTACTAATAAAAGGATAGTGGATATTAGTTTAAAAATGGCTTTTAAAAATGAAATAGATTTACTTGAGGTTCAAAACTTTGATTTTT